CTTGAATGCTCCAAAAACGACAAAGAAATGTCTATTAATTGCCAGTGTACAGCTGAGTTGTGCAATCAGTTCAAATCGGTCAATGAGACATTGACAGCATTGGGACAACAAGACAGTAATTTGTGCGTTTTTGCGATTTATATAGTCCTTTTTTCTGTAAATATGGTAAACTTCAGCCATGTTAATCTGATGCTTCCGGATCTTGCTGTTAGCTGCATTGAGTGTGGAAATGTGACGATTGCCAACCATTCCTTGAGGGTACCATGCGCCGAAAGGCACATCTGTAGAGGAGATTACTGCGTCGTAAGTGAGTATAATATTAAGCAATTAGCCGATGGCTACATATCTTTTTTCCAGAGCGCGGACTTGACCCGCATACATACTGTGGAAGTTTCTGGGAAGGCACAAATGAGGTAGTCTAGTTAACCACGGCGTCCCAAAATGATCGTAATTTTCTGTTCAGGAACGTTGTTCAAAGCAACCAGGAGAAGCTGAGCAATGCGTGTGCAAAAATGATATGTGCAACGTTATGCTTTCGCCAGAGGCAATGCAGGAAATGCTCAGTAAGTCGCATTCTTGACTTTCATTGAAATGATAATTGTGCTTCTCAAATAAGTCGATGTAATGTGTGACAGAAGCATCTGAAAATGCAGTTATTTTCTATATTGCAATGGAATAGCTTCATAGAACTGGTTTTTCAGGGCCTACCACTACATTAGCACCAACTACTACGACATACATTACCAGTAAGTTTTTCTAGGCAAGCGGAGCTTTTATGAATCTTCAGAACTCCGAGACTCATTATTACTCATACCTGATACTTTTTTTCACTTTTAGCCCTGCTGACGACTTCGGAAGCTCTAGTACTTCCTCTGACAACCACAACAAGTGAGTGTTTAGTGAGATTTTAAGGTTGGGACTGTCGTCACTGGCATACCATAATATTTTTTGTGGAAATATAACAATAATTTGTTGATTCTTGTCTTTCCTATTCAGCTACATTTGGGTCGATTTTGCTGAGTAGTTGTGTTAAAAATTAGTAAGTAAGTAAGCAACTTTCTGACGAGCAAAGCATTTACATCTCGCATTTATTTGCACTTGATAAATGC